AACAGATAAACTAGAAGTTTGTCCCTACAGCTTTTATTGTAATGACAATACTTTGTCTTCTATTTTCTCTTCACAGGTAATAAAAGAATAGTACATTAAAAGAATTTGCCTTAAAAAAAACAATTAAATTGAAATAAAACAAAGTACGTAACACGTAAATTCATTACACTAAAAGTTGTGTTAGAAAATGCTTCAAGATTTTCTTTTTCGTAAAGTACTTTGATTATATAAAGAATGCCATTCTTTGTAACATTCCTGGGGGGAGGCCTATGTTCAGCAGGTAACTCGTGATGGTCCGTAATGATAATGCTGATATTGAATATTGAATATACGAGTACGTACGTACGTACGATTATAATTATAAAGAAAAATAAGTACGTACAGAATAATCAATATGAAATAGCAGCATAGCATTTTCCTATATTGAGCGACGAGAACGGGAACCCCTTTTTAATGGTAACTAGGCATTCCATCTAAGTCCGCAAAGGTGACAAGAATATGTATTTTAATTCTATAATGAAGATAAATGTAAAGTTAGTACACTATATGCCAAGTAAAGTTGATGTGTAGGAAACATGAATGGACGGAAAGTGCCTACCTTTAGAACTGCTCTCTGAGCACTTTCTAGTGGGAGCAATATTGTTTTAGAAGCACCACCCCAGGAAGTAATGCCACAAGTTAGTATGGATTGACACAAAGCTAAATAGACCTGTCTTATCAATTTGAAGTCAGTTATGTTACGGAGATATTTATAAATATATAATAATTTTTTTTGAAGCGTCAGTAGCCTAATGGCAAGGCATGGACCGCGAACTCGAAAGGTCGTGGGTTCGAATCCACCATTCGACTACTGTCGTGAACCACTTCTAACACAAGCATTTTAAGCTTACCAGAAGTGGTTAAAGGGAATATTAGTAATGTTTAATAGCATCACTAGTATTTTTTTTAATTTACGAACTCTACATAGCACAAAGTAAATCGATGTGCTTGCGGAAATTTAAATTTGTGTCAAGCGTCATACCTAGATATTTTATATCGTCTGCTTTTGTTAATACGGGACATGCACATGCAGTGTCATCATACGAGCTACAATTATGAGCGTAAATATTTAGGTGAGTAGGTACGAGTATGTTATTGTTTCTCATTAAAAATAACATGTATTGTGTTTTATCTGCGTTTAAATTTAGGAGATTGTTAAGAAGTCAATTAGACCATACTATGTTAAAACCTTGCTGAGCTAATTTATAAGCCTCGTCTCGTGATTTAGCTGATAACAACATAGCTGTGGCATGAACTAGATGGAGTGACGAGCTGGTAAGACATGCAGGAAGTCGATGGATGTAGGTGGCTCAGGACCGTGTTTGGGGACCGTGGTGGCGCATTCCTTGAGGGAGGCCTATGTTCAGCAGTGGACTTGTGAAAGGCTGTAATGATGATGTCGATGATGATTATTTTTAAGTTACATTAAAACTTTTTCAACTATTTTACCCTACAATATAATATACTAAACACTAAACAAAATCCATTTCCACAAGTATTTACAAAAAACTATTTACGTAAACAGCGTTAAAAAAACTTTAACATTCAATCCCCTAAAACGCCCTAGCCCTGACTGCGTATGCAGGCCGGGTCGCCTCGCGATTGTAGGTAATTATTTCACGCAGGTAGCAAGAGTGAGTTTGACAGTACAATATTTTTACTATACAAAATAATAGTAATACTCTGATACAAATTACCCTCAAATTTATTTAAATAAAATATTACTCGGTAACAAACCCTCTTTACTATCAGAAACCGTTCTGGAGGTCAATTGCCAAAAACAACAAAGGTGAGAAAGCGGATACTCAACTTGCTCTCACAATGAATCATTCATCAGCAACAAAACAGCGCACTGCACCATATACTCAGCATACCGCAATCCAGTTCGACTAACCGTAACATGTTCTCGCCACAAACACACACCGGTGTAACGTGAAGGACCCAATATGCAAACCAATAGCTACACTACCCATCTCAACGTAACACAGGGCAACCTCTCAGCAACACGATCTTCCTTTCCTATACTAGTAGAATACCCCAACGGGCATAGTAACCACAGTGTGACTCGCAGAATTACCGACTGATCCCTCTCATTCTGGTTTCTGATGATGTTAATGCTGTTAGCCTTTTTGGCTTTTACAACTTCATCGGCCTCAGGGCTCGCGGCCTTGCGGCCTTACTGGACGCAAGCTAAAATGGGGGTGAATTTATATTACACTGCCTCGTTACATGCGTAACGATAACTCCTAGGACAGTTTACAGTACACATGGATGAGTTATCTAACAACAATCCGAACAGGGGATGGCGGACTCCGGCTCTGACGGCTAACTCATAACGTTCGTTTTTCGGTGAGTGTGTAGTGTTTATGTGCGAATGGCCAGCGAAATTTCTGTCGTGGGAATCAAGGAACGGGGGTTTCATTAGATCGTTACGGGGCCTCCGAAGGTTTTCCGTAACGTTCGGAGTCGGAGCGTAGGAGGCTGCACTTACCACTAGCGGGAGATTTCCTTGAAATATTCAGAGATCGTCGGAAGTTGACAGTCTCGGTGTATTTCGGAGTTTCGCTGGTACCACTGAGCTACGGTGGTGCGAATGAATCTATTTTGGACGAATTGGAGGTCGGACAATGTCTATGGGCCGCGTGCACGAAAACTACGCTTGCGTATGACATGATAGGTCTTAGGTAAAGTTGTAGCTTGTGTCTTAAGGACAGTTTGCTCTTGCTGTTAACTAGCGGATGGAGGCGACTAGTGACGAATTTGGCACGCATGCGGACATTGCGAATGTGTTTCGCGAATATCATACCGTGGACGAAAGTGACCCCCAGATATTTGATTGCCAGGGGATCTGGCGACCGAACTGATTAGTCACCTGCACGATACCTTATAGAACGAGTAAGGAATTACAGTTCTACCCTCATTTCTTCATATTTTCTTTTATTTTTATATCCTCATTGCTAACGATATAGAGAGGGGAACCGAGCGGGAAACTAGCTTTCTTACACACAGCTCATTATGTAATATCGACTGAATTGCAGTCATTCAAATACTGATAACAGCCCGAACCTGCTCGTATGTCACATGACGGTCATCTAATATAATAGTTCGCACAGCTGCGATGTTTTCAGGCGTGACCGCTGTTCTTGGTCGACCTGCAGAAGAAACAGTGCTGAGCGACACACGACCGCGTCGGAACTCGGCATACCAGCGGTATATTGTCGTTTGACTCGGTGCTTTAACATCATAAATCGAAACAAGTTCGCTGAGACATTTATCTTAAAATAAGCCGCGACGAAAATTGTGATAAATTATGGCACGGAAATGTTCACGCGTGAGCTCCATTTCTGTTTAACTTTAAACCACAGAACACAATTACCACAGAACACTAATACCCTTAGGCGGGACAATTACTCTCTACCAAGAGCTTTAAACCAACATAGTTTTTATTTTTAAACATTTTTTTAAATTGTTTGAATGTCATTAAGATTCTAAGAGGCCAGTATTCAAATTTCAAAACAAGGTTTTATTGTAACTCAATCCGAAATATTCTATTCCCGATTATTTCAGTGCACAGAACACAATTACTCTCTACGTGTGCCCCTCGTAAGAAAATTATATTTTGCTGAACTGATAATAACATCTATTTACTGATGTATTGGATGTGTCATAAATCCTAACTCGTGTGTAATAAAACCATACTCTGCTTTAAAATACCTATAGCGCCATCTAACTAGTAGTAGTAAATTAGTTGATTACTAAAATAAAAACTATGATATTTAGAAAATAACGGGAAGGAATAATAACATCTCAAAATTGGATAAAATAATTGTTAGATCGCACGATAACTTAAATTTTAAAACTTTTTGCAGTTGCAAAATGGAACATTATGTCTACTGTGCAGTTCCTATGATAGATAGCGTGCTGATATATATTTATTCTAACGGCTCAACCCTTAAATAATAATGTGAAAGTGTGAAAGTGAAAGTCCTATCCAAATCTGTTCACAGATTTTTGTGTAACGCTTGTGCAGACAGATAGACGTTTCCAAAAAAAATTGTTTTGGCATTTGTATCGATAATATAGTGTATTGTGTTAAAAAGTTAAGGTTAAAGTTACAGCATATATACGTCCTACTGCTGGGCACAGGCCTCCCCTCATTTCCGAGAAGGTTTTAGGGCAAAGAATTGTCCTGCCGCAGTGCGTGTTGGCCGACCTTCACATGACTTCGAAATATTTTTTTTGTTATTTCTCAAGCATGCAGGTTTCCTCACGATGTTTTCGTTCACCGCCGAGCACGTGGTAAAAAGTGTATTGTGTACCCCAATTCAAATTTCAAAAAAGATTCAATGTATAGAAATCGTCGGGTTAGTTTTATTATAGTATAGATAGGTATACTTAGAAGTACAGTACAGTTTTTTTCACACTGGCTACTTCGAAGTGTGTTTTCCTACATTCGACTTACCTAGTATTCTAAATTCAAATCAATGTCATAAAAAATCAGAGGTTTATTTGTTTTTCCGCAGTTTGTTTTCCACGATATCGCTGAGTCGGCAAGCATGGAAATATATTGATTCACATTATTTATGAATATTCAGTCGTAACGTCAATACTACACAGACAACACGCACTGTCAGCGACGTATGACTGTACCAGGTAAAAACCGCACGGTGCGTTTTTGGTTTGGTCCAGTGTTGATTTATTCTTTTGCTTTTTTGTTGCATATATAATAATAATGTTATAAGGGGTAAAAATGAGTCATAAATATAAATTAAGTATCTTGAAAAAATGTATGTATTTTTTACTTTAACAGTTATACAATAAGACGAAAAATTAAATTCATCTTGCAGTAAAATCAATATCATAAATCACCATGGCAGCTATAATATCATAACCAAGGAAATGTCAAATACCTATATTTTAACGAAATACAAGATTCCAAGAGGAATAAAATTTACCTAATTTTAATCATCGTTTTCCACAAGCAAAACTCTATTCTTATCAACTCTAACATTAGGTGCGCTTTTTAACTTCTTAATAAATTTTTCAGCAATCCTATCATCAACTTCATTTCCTGTTATGTCGGAATATTCAGCAAGAACTTTTTTCTGTAACCTTTTAAAAGGTACCTCATTATCCTTTTTTTGTAAAACAGACAATATAACTGCATGCCAATCAAACTTTTCTTTTTGATTAACACATTCTTCATTTTTAGCTACATTTTGATCATGAAGAGAAACTTCAACTTCTTCTTCTACTTGTACTTTTGGTTTCTTTTGCTGAACCTTTATTTTATTAACATTGTCATTTTCAACATCATTTTCAACAATTTCTGGAATGGTTGTTGCTGTATCCTGACGCTTCCTCTTTTTATTTTTATTTTTTCCTTCCGATTGAACCTCATCTTCTGTTGTTGTGCCATTAGTTTTATTTTTATTCTTTTTGCCTTTCTTTTTCCCCTGAATATCGTCAACTTCTTCATCAGCCGGTTGTTGTTCTGCACTCTGTAATTCGGCCTCATACTTCTTACGTTTCTTTTCTTCTTTACGTTGTTTCTTGGACAATTTTTTCTCTGAGACATCATTATGCCCATTTGTTTCTTGTGAAATGCTCTTTTCTATTTCATTTTCATCTTCCGTCTCATTTTCTTTTTTATTGCCATTCTGTACATTAGCATCAGAATTTCCGTTTACTTCTGACACTCCATTCTTTGGGTTTTGATTTTTATTTTGAGCATTCAAATTAGACAGTTCTGTAAGTTTGACGGAAATCAAATTCCAAGCCTCATCAATATCCTTCGGATTTGTCTTTTGCCCACATACATTCTTTACAAAATTAATGAATTTAGGTTTCTTCCTAGGTGTATTATTGTGTTTGCTAATAGTTTCTATAATTTTGCGAACATTTGGAGAAGTATTCTTGTATTCGTCTAATACAGATTGCAACATCTCAACCCAAGCATTTTGCTTTTTCTCACCTTTCTTTTCTTTTGCAGTAAAACCTTTTCCAGAATAACGCTCTTCTTCTGTGATACATTTGATATGTGCTTCATAATCATTACCTCTGAAAAATAAAAATATAAATTAGAATATACTATATTAATAATACTTATTGAAAGTCACTCTTTTGTTTCATTACTACACAACAACTATATTAACTTATGTATGTATTTTTTTGTTTTTTTTTTCATCCCTAGTGGCCGTTTATTAACTAATGTTACACATTTTTTAATATAGTTTTGTTAACAAGTTCAAGATTATTCTACAAAGACGGCTAATTACAAACAGCACTCCGATTTGATACAGTGGTGTTGGTTTGACCGTACAAGTAAATAATTATAAATTTACGAGTTTCTGTACTATTTACAAATTTTCTTATTATATGCTCTGTATATACTACTAGAAAAATGTATGTTAAACCACTTATGTTAAAAACTTATGTATGTTAAACCACTGTAAAAATACTGGGTTGGATTTGCAATTGTTTGGCTGGAGTTTGGATGAGTAAGGTATTGTATTTGGTAGAGGTTTAGTCCTCGATTATAACAATACTAATAAATAAATAGCATTAGAAGGTAATGATGCACTGTTTTCGAGAAAATAAAATAAAAACTATTTATAACCTATAAATGGGTAAAACATGGAAAAACAAATGCAATATTACTCTGAAAGCTGGATAGCATACATAATTTTGAGTAAGTGCAACAAGGACGTAAGACCATGTCAAAAATTAGTGTCACATTATTGACACTCGACAGAAAGTATAGACCACAGAAGAATAAAAATACCATAGAAGTATGATAATAATGTGACACTTCTCCACCCAGAGAAGCCGTGGCGGACATTTGAATAATGTTATTTTCCATACACACAACGAGAAATTAAAAATAATAACTGAAGAAAACATTAGATTAAAAGACAAAATATCGACATTGGAGCAGAAACTTATGGTCATGGAAAGAGAGAAAAGAAAATACAACTTAGTCTTCTTTGGCATTGAGGATAGTGGAAAATCAGAAGCGGTACTAGTAGACTACAGAGTGCAAATACCTGCACGGCTGATACAACGTCCCAAAGCAACATAACAACCAGAGAAATAGACAAAACACAAGAAATTTACAACATAGAAACAAACAATATTTATAGAAAGGAGAATAAATCAACAAAAAACAAAAATACATTGAGCTCGAAAACACTAGATCTCATTCAAAAACGGAAAGAACTGCTTAAAAATAGAAGAAATAAAACAATGTTACATGAAATTATTGAACTAAGTAAGGATATAAGTCGCAACATAAAACAAGATAAGTCGAATAAAAGAATAAAATGTATCCAAAAACACATTACTAAAACAGGAAGTATAAATAAAGCACTTAAAGAATTTAAAAAACAACGCTATGGGTCCCGAGAATGAAAAGCAAAAACAACAAGGACGAAACAAAGAGACAGCCAAAACATAGCGACAGAATATTATCGGAAATTATACTCTACCGAAAACACCTTAAAATTCAACATAAACCTTGAAGAGAAAATAGAAGAAACCCCTCCATTTTTGAAAGGGAAGTTCAGCATGCGATAGAAACAGAAAAATGATAAAGCTCCTGGACCTGATCATATAACCAATGAGATAATGAAAGCTAGATTGCCAGAAACAACAAAAAACTTACTAACTTCTTTAATCCTCTCCTAAACAAAGAATCCATACCTTCACAGTGGACAATAAGCACTATAGTACTCATCTTTAAGAAAGGATCATGTCCAACATATACAAGGTGTTCTCAAAGATAATACTGAAACGCATCACCAAAAAACTTGAAGAACAAGAATCAAGAGAACAGACTCGATTCCGATCGGGATTAGCAACAATTGATCACATACATGTGGTAAAACAGCTCATTGAAAAATGTCAAGAATACGATTATCCATTATACATGGCATTTGTGGACTATAACAAAGTGTTTGACTGCCTGGAACATCAGTACATTTGGGAAGCCCTGAAAAATCAAGGAATAGAAAATAAATATATAAGGATAATAAAAAATGTGTATTCCGATAGCAAAGCACGAATCAAACTAGAAGCAGAGGGGGAAATTTTTCCAATACACAGGGTAGTGTGGCAGGGAGAACCACTCTCACCAAAACTATTTTCATCCGTGCTAGAGGAAGTCATCAGGAAGATGGAATGGGATAACATAGGGATTAACATAAATGGAACACATTTAAATTTAATTTTTTGGGATTTCTTTACGTGGTAGAGCCATGCTGCAGCTATGTTAGTAGTATAGTTGTAGCACAAATGGGTCGGCTCGACCGGGGAAGGACCACGCTCTCACAGAATACCAGTGTAAAATAGCAGCTTAATGCTGCTGTGTTTCATATGGTGAGTGTAGAGAATTGGAGACCCTTTTTACTGGAAAAGTGGCATTCCATCTTAGTCCTCACAGGTGACAATGCATCTGCATTTTGATATGCAAACGAGGATAAATGTAGACGTCTATGGGCCACAGCAACCACTTACCATCAGGTGGACTATGTGCTTGTTTGTCACCCTATCCTATAAAAAAAAATCATTTAAGATTTGCAGATGACATAATACTTATAACACATAACCCGGAAAGTCTTAAAAACATGCTCCAAGATTTATCATGTGAAAGTAAAACGGTGGGACTAACAATAAATAAAACAAAGACAAAGATAATAACAATCAGATCCCAAATAAGTATCTCAGTAGATGAGGAGGAAATAGAATATGTAAATTCCTATGTATACTTAGGCCAACTTATCGCCTTCAACAACCAAATGGATTCAGAGATTGAAAGACGGGTAGCCAATGCCTGGAAGAGATTTTGGTCCCTCAAAGAAGTGCTACAAGGCAATCAATATAATATTGCAATGAAAAGGAAAGTATACAATACATGCATATTACCAATCCTCACCTATGGGTGCCAGACCTGGGCAAACACACAAAAACAAAACCAAAAACTGATTATATGCCAAAAAGCCATGGAGAGGAGTATACTAGGTTACACAAGAGATAGAAAGAGAGCTGTAGATCTAAGACAAATTACCAAAATTGAAGATGTAGTATTTAAAACTAGAAAACTCAAATGGAGGTGGGTAGGTCACATGATAAGAGAGAATAGAAATAAATGGACGGAAGATATAACAGAATGGACCCCTAGATACCAAACAAAAAGAAAACAAGGAAGACAAAGAAAACGTTGGTCTGATGACTTAAAAAAGCATGTGGGTCCAATATGGCACAGAACAACTGAAACAAGAGCAGAATGGAGAAAGCTGGAGGAGGCCTTCGTGTCGCAAAGACACACCGACACGAAGCCCGCTAACAACAACATATTTACCTAATAATATAATATCAACTAAAATTAAATACATAGTGATATTAATAATGTATAACAGTAATTCATTAATGTTAAGGTCAATTTTACTTTTAAAGTTAGATATTTTAATTTACATGTATAATTTTAACTATGAAATGATAAATTATGTATAATGTGTTGGTAATAAAGGCTTAAAGGTAAAGAGGTAAAGGTATATTCCATACATAATGGCTTCGATAGGTCTTTCAAACAAATAAAAAATTTCGATGATATCTCACACACACTTTGTTTTATTTAAATTTAAAGATTGCTTAATGAAATACCCTTTATATTTACAATTACTAAATCAAATAAATGTTTACAAAAAAATTTGTTTGTTATAGATGCTTTGAAATAAACTTGGAATTAACAAATAAAGCAGTTTTTAAATAACAATACTACATAATGATTTCTTATATTTACGCAAACACTACACATTTAAATAAAACTAATTTTACGGATTTTAACTTTAACTTATGAATGTAAAATAAGTTAATATATGCGATAAAATCCGTAAAATTAGTTTTATTTAAACAATACTACACCCAAAATTTATTTTTGCACTTGTTCCTCAGAGAGACACAATTAATATGAAAACTCAAGTTCAAAAGTTGAAGGACAGAAGGTCAATAATAATATTTCGTCTTAACAAGGTCAAAGCTATTAATGCAGCTAGTAATCCTTACATTTTGGGGAACAAGTGTTATTTTTAAATATATGGCAAAAAAAATGTATTTACTGTGTAGAATTTTATAATAGATTATAAAAATAGCGTCAGTTTTATGGTAGCAATTGACATAATTATTGCAAAAATAATTGATTTTCAAAATTGTTTTTCTCAAAAAGTATGCGTTTCCGCATGTTGAAACTTTGCCTGTGTGCTTATAATAATGTATCCTTTCTGTAAAAATATCAACCTCCAACTCGATGGACGTCAATGGAAAGCTAAGCCGCTTGAAATAAGCCCCCCACAGTGACAGACTCCACAAATTCAGTCGACTTGATTCTAAACACAACCCATGGAAACTTTAGGTGTTTAAACCTTTTAACCTAAAATTCAGATATTACGGAGTTCTTGTTTTCCGCAAAAGCAACTTTGAGATTGGAACTATCTCTCACCCTTGATTAACCTCAAATTTATTGGCCACTTAAGTAAATTCTAGTCCAAATAAAAGCAAAATGCTGTAGAACAAACTATAACTAACTGCCCTAATATTTAAATGCAGTATATGTAGCAAATTCATCATTTACTACTATATCTACCAAACCATACATATCAAGCGTTTTACTTACAGAAAGTCTTTAAAACAATCCATACAAGACAAGTTAGGATTTCGGTTTCTACATTTTGTGAGATAATGTTTTTCTACTTTCGGCTTTTGAACAGATTCACCACAATGTCCACAAGTGAACACCACCATATCTTCTTCAATAGTTATCCCAAAATTCAAGCAATGTAAATAAACTAACTGACATAAACACGTGTTTTATTTAAAAATAATCAAAAATTCAAAGTTGAAAAAGCCAATTGTCAATACGTTTACGTCAGTATGGCATGTCACAACTCACAACTCACAACTCACAAACAGAACAGGAACACCATTAGGCTGGCTTTTCACTATAGGATATAACATAATATTATTATCCCTACAGTGCATGATTTTTTTTTTTTTACGGTAGTGAATAAAATATATGTGGTTACTGGTTATGTAAATTACTCCTAATTTGTAAAAAAACAGTGAAAAAAATCATCATAGATCGTTTACTTAAAAAATCGAGGTTTTTTATAAGACGCATATGGGTCACTAAATGCAATGTGCACTACATTTCTACTCTATATGGGGTAATCTACAAATAACAAAATTTAATGTTTATTAAATGTTTTATTTAAAGGAAAATGAAAACTTTAACATAAAAGGTTGAAAACAGGTCTAAGCTTTTAGTCTTATTAATCACAAACATAGGAACAATTTGGATCACCAGCTTCCTTGTAGATCGGAGCATCAAGGTCGTTGTAGACGGTGCATGCTCTGACTACAAGCCTATTAACGCTGGTGTTCCACAAGGCTGTGTGCTATCACCAACGCTGTTTCTTCTGCATATCAATGATATGTTGCTAACTGGTAACATTCATTGCTATGCGGATGACAGCACTGGTGATGCTCTATACACCGGCCGTGCCAATATTTCTCGGGAAAACGTCGCTGAGTACCGGAACAAACTTGTGTCTGAAGTCAAGTCTTTGCTGAACAAAGTCTTGGATTGGGGGCGACTAAATCTAGTCCAATTTAATCCTCAGAAGACACAAGTTTGCGCGTTTACCGCTAAAAAGAACCCCTTTGTCGTATCTCCTCAGTTTCAAGGCACTCCCCTTCTTGCCTCAGCCAGTATCGGTATCCTCAGAGTCAACATATCGAGTGACGTGCAGTTTCGTGGTCACTTGGAAGGGAAGGCCAAATTGGCCTCTAAAAAGCTTGGCGTGCTCAGCAGAGCGGGACAGTATTTCATGCCGGCACACCGCCTGCTACTTTACAAGGCGCAAGTTCGGCCTCACATGAATTACTGTTCCCATCTCTGGGCAGGGGCTCCCCAGTGCCAGCTCCTTCCACTTGACCGCATCCAACGCAGAGCGGCTCGAATTGTCGACGACCGAGCCCTTTCCGATCGGCTCGATTCATTGGCACTGCGAAGAGATGTTGCATCCCTTTGCATTTTCTTTCGTATCTACCATGGAGAGTGCTCTGAGGAATTGTTCGGATTAATCCCAGCCGCCAAATTTCACGAACGCACATCGCGGCAGAACTCCCGATACCATCCACACCATCTGGATGATTGGCGGTCAACCACTGTGCGATTTAGAAGATGTTTTCTTCCTCGCACGACCTCCTTGTGGAATCGATTACCATCAGCGATTTTTCCGGACCGATACGACTTAGGGACCTTCAAGAAAAGAGCGTACTCCTTTTTAAAAGGCCGGCAACGCATCTGCGATTCCCCTGGTGTTGCAGTTGTTCATGGGCGGCGGTAGTCACTTACCATCAGGTGAGCCGCATGCTCGTTTGCCCCCTCTCCTATAAAAAAGAAAAAAAAACATAAACGAGATCAAAATTACACAAATATAGACATGGCATAGCTCACTAATATTATTGTCTTGAATTACTGCCTACTAATTCAAGACAATAATAATTGACATAAAACAATTTTTTATTTGTTTAGACATAGTGAGACATTACATTTTTGGCAAGTCACAAAAGACTTTCCTTTATATCGTGGTAATTTGCAACGCTGCCTAGGGTTAGACTAAAACGAAAAATGGTCAATACAATCAATTCTAGAATCTCTAGGTGGTACCTTAGCTTTCGGCTTCTTCTTTTTAGGTCTTCCAGCATATCGGAAATCAGCGATGAATGTCGTGCTCTTTTTCGAGTCAGTGATAGCCCAGAGAGACACAAAGCTTTAGATGATTCCATCCGAAATTCTTCCATTCTTTTGTACAAGAGTCAACTTTTTATGACCATTACATACCATGTACGATTTCGTTGTACGCATTTTTATTTTATGCTTTCCTATAAAAGAATCGAGCAGATCGACGCCACCCATGTGTCCGTTGTAGTGACGTATGATATTGGATATTGACCCACGTAACGTTTACTCTTCTTACAAAAGAGTTTAACCTTTTTGTGCCGGACGGGCGTAACTCTCCGGAGTAAATGTTGTCGAAGATACTCCGCGAGTCGCTTACGTCCTACACCTATAGGTTCCGGGGGATACTTTCACTGCCGTCTCTGTGTGTGCTGCTGGAAAACTGTGGACTGAGGTTTAAAATTAAAATGCACGATTTATAAATTCAAATAGCAAGGGAGTGGCCAGCGACTGATTGATTAGTCGTGAAATTTTATAATTATTATTTATTGACCACGGTTGTTGAATACGGTTGTTCAACTACGGTTGTTCACTATTGGTTGGTCACTATATATTTCAAAAGATTTCATTAAAATGTGCGGTAGTATTAAAATATCTATTGGTAGTATCAAAATATCTACTGGTAGTATCAAAATATCTATTGGTAGTATCAAAATATCTATTGGTAGTATCAAAATATCTATTAGTAGTATCAAAATATCTATTGGTAGTATCAAAATATCTATTAGTAGTAGCTGGTTTTCTAACACTACTGACTAGCAGCTATTAATCAACTAAAACTAGTTGATTTTATCACTTGTGTAACTGCGAATATCAGTTACCATTTTTTTCGTCTAGCTAACGCTTTTAACTATATGCAACTGCGAATTTTCAGTTGCCACTTTTTTCGGCTATGTGTAACTGCGAATTTCAGGTACGACCTTTTTCGGCTAGTTAATACTTTTTCTAATTCACTTTTACTGTTCACTATGTTCTGCTACTAGTCACTGCAGCTACTACCGGATACTACTGCTTGTTACTGGTAGTTCTTCCTACTATCACGTTACTGAGTTTCGCCCCCATAAGGTAGACTTCGGCTATACTGTATAGTGAGCCGCTTGCCATTTTCCGTTTTGCCTCTTTATATTAAAATATTTTCACTGTGTATTTAGCATAAATTGTAATATTTTCTATATAAGGTTAAATCTTACACTAATATGCTAAACATCATTAAATCGGCATTTTGGTCCTTTATCAGTATATGATAAAGGTTATTCAATACATTAATATTTAAAAAAGTTATTAAACGAAATGTCCCAAATTTTCATAACAAATGGGTACATTAATTCTTTAATTTTTCTATAACTACCAAATGCGTTTCATTGTACAAATTATTTCTTCACTATCGTAATCTATATACCATATGCTAACTAAATGTCATATTTACAAGTCTTTTAGAACACAAAAATATTCTCATTATTTTTAGTATAAATAAACTATTGCGCAGTTAATTAAATTTCCAGAAAGTTATACGATATGACGCGCTGTGATTGGTCGATTTTTTCTTAAACGATTAAAGTTGTTTATATTAACTATTATTAAAACAACACTCTATACCAATATATTAAGAGTTATAAACACTCTGTAAACCTATATTAACAAACTATTTACTCGATTTCGTTGGTAATTTCATTTTTTATACAAAAACAATATTCTTTCATCACTTTGTTTCTTAAAGTCGTTAGGCCGTCGCGAACACTTTTTTTAGGTTCCTCACCAACAAAAGAAGATGTTAGAACAACAAGTTTGTTATCCATCCACATAACTGTAACAACTGGTATTCCATCTACGGTAGTACACCACTCTTCTGAATACCCACGTGCTTTCTAAGCTTTGAGTAGTTCTTTATGAGAATATAGTATAGTATAATAATATAGTAAGGTATCTATATATTTTCTCGCAGACGACCTTTAGTTACAGTGCCCAATCTATGTGTTCCTAATATCGCTAAATGTGACACCAATTCAGGAGATATAATAATTATCGAAGAACACTTTTTACTTTTCATGCCTAGGAACACTTCTACATAGTGTGAGGCGTCCGCCCACTGGATGGAGTGATGATCTGGTAAGACATACAGGAAATCCATGGCTGCAGATGGCTCAGTATCGTGCTTTATGGCATTCTTTGGGAGAGGCCTATATTCAGCAGTGGACTTGTGAAGGGCTGTAATGATGATGACGGTGTATCAAAACCAACAGAGACATTTAACGGTTTGCAACAATAAAAAAAAAATCGATGTATTTGTCATTTTATGCCGCACTTGTGGTTGAAAATGATCTTATTAAATAAATCATTTTAAATAATTTTCATTCATTTAGTATTATCACCTACAAAGATGGAGAGGTAATGGATTAAGCAATGTATTATTAAAAAAGAATCATTTTGCATTCGTATATTATACACTTTGCATTTATATTTAATAAATTAATTATTTTAATTTAATTAAATTTTAATTTTTGTTAAAAATGATTCACCCCCAGACTAGAATTTTAAGCAGTATATTTACATAAATTTCACAAAGACAAACATCCAGACCCGGTACAATTATTTGTAGTGCTTTCTTGAAACAAAAATAAATTACCAACCACACAATTACCACACACACATTATTTACAGTGTTTCAGAAATAGCTGATAGTTATTACATAATTCATGGTAAAGAGGTTTCCGTGACAAATTAGTCAACAGTTTTTATTCGATAAATAAATAGTTGAAAATATTATTACTTTTATCAACAGACTTTGCAATATTATATAAGTTTAGGATAACTTTCACTAGATGAGGTGACGACCTAGTAAAATGTGCAAGATGAATGCAGGTGGCGAGGACCGTGCTTTGTGGCCTTCCTTGACTACATAAAATGAAGTTGTATCTTTAAATATTTCCTTAATCAATGCCATACATTGCATAAGTTAAGTTTATTGAAACTAATTTCTTTGTTTTGTTTTATCGACCTCTTTAATAACGAAGAAAACCAATTAATTCGTGTCTTGTAATAATCTATAATCAATGGCTTACCTCTAACTAGCTGGCAGCACAGCATTATAATTTATAACTACAACTATAATTTACTCGAGACTTGGTCTAAAGGTCTAGATACCAGGCCATAAACTCCAAAAAAAACACAACTATAATTTTGATTTTTGTACAGTGCCACCTGGTGCCACCAACTTATCTGTTCAGTTGACAGAGTCCCTAGTGGAGTGCTTACTATTGCCATTTAAGAAATTTACCGAGGAAATAGATGACTACATATTCTTTGCACATAATGTAAATTAAAACAAATTTCGTGTTAATATATTAAAATTAGTGTTATTATACAGGATGATTGGGAAATGGGTGCAAAGCTTTCAAGAGCCGCTAGTATAGACAGTTTAGAACCATTTAAACCATGCTAGTCTTAGATGAAGTCTAAGCATTTTCTTTTTAAATAAGTTTTTATTATTTTTAGCGAAAATGCCCAAAATTTTCTAATTAACTATTATTTATGGCCAAGTTAAACATTAAAACACATGTTTTTTATTTTATTCTATTAAAGTCATGTGTAAGCAATCTAATAAGACATGTTTTAAGTACATGTATTTTAAGATAATTTTTTTTACAGACGTTTGAAGTTTATGAAAAAAATATATAATTTATAAATACCGTGTTTAACACTCATTAAAAAAAAATAGGCTAGAATTTTTCGTTCAAACCTCTTTGAAAACATGCTTGATTATTGCTCCTTGTTTTGAGGTATCCGATGCCGATATCATAAAAAAAAATGAAATTAGGACCTGCAAACCAATTTGAGGAAGAAAAAATTTTTCTTTTGATATCTACTTAAAACAAAATTTGAACTGAAATTATCAATTTTTGATGTTTAAAATAACTGCCGTGATTATTGATTACAAGCACAGGCCCGGTTTTTGCTCTACAAATAGTTTTTTTGTTCAAAATTGTAGCGTAGTAAAATTCTAAGAAAGAAGTTGTGGGGATTCTCTAAACAATAGCTGCCCAGGCATACATGCACCTGGCGTGGAAGATAATATTTTGGCAGCGTTTGAAGCGGATCCAACTAGTACTAGAGTAGTAGCTCGAAATTTAAACATTTCCCAATGGAAGGTGTGGCATACAATGCACCAAAACGACAAATATCCTTTCCATAGCAGAGGTGTGCAAGGTCTGGAAGTGCAAGATTTCCAAAGAAGGATGTAGTTCTGCCGTTTTCTACTTAACAGGGATATTGAGGATGAATGGTTTTTAAAATCGATCTTGTGGACAGATGAAAGTAAATTTTTAGGGAAGGAATCACCAATTTACATAACCTGCACGAACGGGTAGACAAGAACAATAATCGACATTGGAAAAAACAAGTATCCTTCCAGAGAACATTTTCAGTAAATGTGTGGGCTGGAGTAATAGGCAGAACATTGATCGGGCCCCACTTCTCACCGGACTCATTAAATGGCGAGAATTACTTGCAATTTTTGGAAATGAATTTACCATTGCTTGTGGAGCAATCCGGTGCCCCGATATTTGAAACAGATCGAGAGGTCATTTTTCAACAAGATGGCTGCTCATGATGACTTTGACCGTTCGAATTTTTAAATAGCAGCTTCCATCAAAGTTGGATTTGACGAGATGGACCCATCCCTTAGCCCGCACGGTCACCTGATCTGACCCAAATCGACTTTTACGTGTGGGACCGGGCCAAAGAACTAATTTATACGAGCATAGAAATAAATACAAAGGAAGAACTAATAGCTCGAATATATTCTGCATTTGAAACCATGAAGACGGAGATGAAACTTAAAATCACGACCACAGAAGTGAGAAACCGGGCCCATACTTGCATTAAAAATAACGGCCGTTACTTTGAACATGAATAGTAAAAGATTTCAAATTAAATTTCGTTTTAATAAGTTAGCCAAAAAATTTAATTTACTATCTCAAATTGGTTTTTAAGACTTAGACTCAACATTTTTTAAGATATCTGCATGCATGATACCTCAAAACAAAGAGCGATAATCAAGCATGTTTTCAAAAAGGTTTGAATGAAAAAAAAACCTAGCCTAGTATTTTTTTAAATGAAAGCTAAAAACTGAATTTATAAATTTTAGAACTTTTTCGTGAACTTCAAACGTTTTAAAAAAAAATTATCTTAAGATACATGTGCTTAAAACATGTCTTATTGAATTGCTTACACATGACTTTAATAGAATAAAATAAAATACATGTCTTTTATTTTTTAATTTGGCCATAAATAACAGTTAATTAGAAAATTTTGGCCATTTTCGCTAAAAATCATAAAAACTCATTTAAAAAAATGTTTAGACTTTATCTAAGACTAGCATGGCTTAAATGGTTCTAAATTGTCTATACTAGCGGCCCTTGAAAGCTTTGCACCCATCTCCCAATCACCCATTTATATTTTATAAAAAGAATTGTGGTTGTGATCTTGGAGTTCAAGCGGCAGAACTCCAGGAATTCCTGTTTTGAATGATGTACCCACGTTAGCTACAACAATTCATCTTCTGCGTCACTGGAATCACTTTCACTGTCGCTCTGTAACTCTATAATAAAGGGTTGATCTAAATACGCGTCTTTTTGTCTGTATCCATTTTCTTTTTTTTTTCAATTTCCACTCCACCAGTGTAATTTTATGGTCTGTATCTTCAGTTGTTTGGGGCATTTGAACATTAGGTTTTCCAACATTTTGTCTGCTATGTTCCTTTTCAATTGCGTTCAAGTCTCAGTGATTAGGTGGCAATCTAAGAATATTATGGCCATGACTTTCATCAGGCTATCAATTCCATATTCCGGAGCAGGTTTATTTCTCTTTATTAACTCATATTTTTTTATTATATTCGGTAGGAATTTCTTTTCTCACTGAATAAAATTCGTGAATTTTTCTTTTTATCCAATGTCAGAATTATCAATTTCATGTTTCCCGGTTTATCTTTGCCTTTCTTTGTCAGGGGCAGAAGTTTTAAAAATGGATTCTTCAGCGTGTTTTACTTCATTGACGAGTTTGTGTACTACTGTCTGCTCAGAAACACCTGTAACAAAACGAAAAATAATTATTATATAGGTATAATTAAATAAATATAAGCCCGTAAATATGCCCTCACTAAAGCTACTTCCTAGACCACAAACTACAAACCCTGGTATATTAGACGGATGCCAGTAAATTGAGATAATTTTATGTTTCACGAGTACATTATTTGGTGATTTTATGTTTTCATATCTGGCAATACTAACCTGTCGCAGCAGCAACGCGTTCATGCAGCTTTTCAAATGGTATAATTGGGGCTTGTAAACCAGTGGAGTAGCGTGCCTTAGAGGTATCCAAATTTGTATCAAAATTTGTCGGGGGGCCCAAATGAAGAGTAAAGATTTTTTACAAAAGGAACAGAAACTCTCGCATTGAATTAAAATAACTATATGTTGATTATAAGTTATTACTTACAATTAATACTCCTAGGAATTAAGCTAATCAAACAATTCAAACCAACATCCTGTCTCATAAAAGACCTTAGAATTTTTCCTTACATACGTTCGGGGCCCCTGTAGCCCGGGGGGCCCGTATCACTATTGTAAACGTTTCTCTTCTCTCATAGAACATAAAACTTTTAGTATAATCTGGCGCGTATCACTTTTAAGAGCTTTAGTTAGGTATTTTATTTGCACTTTTTAAAAACACTCTGAATAAATAACAGCTGACAGCGAAATGTCATTTACAAAATGGCGGGCTTAGACTGGCTTTTCACTATGGGATATAATATATATTATATCCCTAAATATAAATTATATCCCGCGATTGGCGTTCACACTGTGAGATATATCTTTTAACCAGTGTGCGTTCCTCATTGGTCATTGAATTACCCCCCTTTACCCCGTACACCGTTCTGCGGGGGTGCGGAACGGTGTGCGGGGTACAGGGGGCGAAATATAATATGAAAATATCGCTCGGTCGATCGAAAAAATATTTGTAGCTTGAGATGTAATATATATTATAGCTCAGTGTTAACGGTTCCATATGAAATGTATGGTGAGCGATATTAATTTATATCTCGAGATGTAATATATATTATATTATATCCCATAGTGAAAAGCGGGCTTTAGTTCCAATTTTGTTTTGTTCACCTGAACCATAGACTTAGTCCATCCTCTATCTACGACCTGGAACAGATAAGTTTACAGGCTAATATTTTACTAAGATAAGTTGGTGGCACTTTTGAAGTTTGAACCACAGAGTACTTTTCAATTTCATATATTATACTGGTTTTAGTGTTTCTATTCTATTTAGTTTGTGACTGGTTTGAAGCACAGAGTATCTTTGTATAAACCGAAACTGGTTTGAAGTTTGAACTCGGTTTCGGGTGTGTCTTGTGTGGTCTAAACTTTTGAAATTAGTTTATAATTCTTGTTATAAATGACTTTCATGTTTCCTAAATATGAGAGTTTTATATAGTTTTGTATTATTATTGACTCTTTCAGGTAATGCATAAAACTTAAAACATTATTTGTATGTTATAATAATATTTGTAATAAACTGAGAATATAATTGTTGATCGGTTTAAATGTATTTACATCTATTTGTTAAACAGACGAACAAAGCCAATGAGAATTCAAGTTTACCTAACTAGTTTTACCGTTTCAAACGATAAATAATTCACATATCATTCATTTTTAGGATTAACAAGGGCAGGTTATTACTATGGTGATAAGGTGTCTCAGTCAATATTACAAAAAGAAAAAGAAAAAAATCGTGTAACATGGTGCACCACTTCAGTGTTGGAACAAGAAAAATGTGAAAAGTTGACTAAAGCTGCTATGCTTGATAAAGGGCTTTTTGGAGATGATTATATTGAAGTTGCTTGTAAAAGAGTAAGTAAATAAAACCAAGAGTAAAGGTCGTGTTTTAAAGTTCCTTCTTGCCTTTTATTTCTAACATAACTTTCTCTATAAATGTCACATGAATAGATTGGCATAGTGATAAAATGTTTCAGCTTTTCTTATGATAACATAGTTTGATTTTGAATCAAAAATTACAAAAACAATGAATCAATCTAAATTGCATTGCATTATTGTCTTCTCAACAATTTCATATTAATACACTGAAATTGTTTAGAAAACACTTTAGAAATGGTAACCTCATGGAGGAGATCTGGTCTGCTAAGTGATCAAATCCATGAAGAGGCAGATTTTTGATGAAAAAATATATTTGAGGTTATGTGTACAAAACATCTCTTAAATCTAGCCTGAAGATATGGAGGAAGTAAGAGTACACTACAATGGAGTATTTTTTTATAGAATAAGGGTGACAAACGAGTACACAGTTCTCCCGATAGTGAGTAGTTGATGCGGCCCATAGACATAGACATTTACATCTATGCTCTATTAAGAATCAAAATGAAGATGCGTTGTCGACCTGAGGACCAAGATGGAATGCCTCGTTACCAGTAAAAAGGGTCTTCAGTTCTCAACACTCACTATATGAAACACAGCAGCATTCAGCTGCTATTTTATGCTGGTATTCTGTCAGAGTGTAGTCCTACCCTGGTCGAGCCAACCAATTTGTGCTGTAACCATAATATAGCAGCAGCATGGCTCTACCATGTATAAACAAGTTAGAAGAATCCCTCCAGAAGCGAATCAAAGCTTAGAAGAACAAAACATATTTTTGACATACTATAGACAGTGGTTTAAACCGCTTGACTGCCCGCCATTTGACTACTGTCATGAATCACTAACACTAGCATTTAATATTAACTGCAGTAGTTGATTAGGAATATTAGTGATGTTAGTAGCACTGCGGTTCTTTTTTAAAGTAATTACCCAAAATTAGCACCTACAAATGACTACTGTACAAGATTTATTTTTAACATATGTGTACAAAGTTGGTACTGGGAAACTTAAATATATATAACATAAATATGCCTTTGATTCTCCTTTTACTTTAGAAAATTTTTACAAAAAATTATGAAATTATACAAAATATATGCATTTCCAAAGGGAGGCAGTGTGGCAGGGGGTTTCCCACCTCCTCCACTCTTCTCCCCACTCCCAATACAATAGTAAGAGGTAGTTAATCTCCAGTGTTTCCAGCACTGCAAGTTTTTTATAAATTGCAGTACCAGACATTTTGCACCTTTGATGTTGCTCCTCGTCTCAGTGCTGGATATTTTATGCTTGCTGGAAAACCGTTGGTTATACTGCTTTATCTACAGGTGTTATTAAATCTTTCTGCCACTTTCCATAGTCACCTCTTACAAAACATGTGGGATTAAATGGTGTGATTTATTGTTAAATGTTTCCTCCACACAGTACCATGTCTTTCTTCTCAACTCAGATGAAATAAAAAAAGGTAGATACTGCGCGGCCTTTGTTATTGGTGAAGCCAAAAAACTCCGCTCCTTTAAGTAAACACACGCGTTCACGCACACACATGCATCAAACTACGCTCATTTTCGTCAGTACCTCTCGGGGCGTCGTGCCGTAAATTTGCCTACAAAATGCCGCCATTTGTAATTAAATGGTGCAAAAACAATACTAAAGTGAACAAAAAGTCTGAAGGAATATCGTTTCACACATAAGCACTCATTTAAATATATTTTATTTTGTCATTCCAACACAACTTTAAAGGTTATTTGAAGCACAATTCCGAGATTACGTAACGGGAGAATGTTGCCAGTTTTTCTTATTTCTAATAGTCCAAGATTTGGGTAATTAATTTTAGGTTAAGTCATAGAGGTATATGTAGTCAACATATTTTTTTAATTACGTGTTATTACGTAACATCAAATTCAAGTCAAGGTAAATATTATTTTTTTTAACTCGCTGATGTATTTTTTTAATTCTTGAGTACTTAGAATTATTTTATTATCAAAAACTATTTATGATTTTAGGCTTCTAACGAATATTTTAATAAGAGATGAACGAGTAGCTGCTGTAAGACTAAGCCGAAATGAACTACAATGGTAATCATCCTCATCTAGTGTTGTTTGTTCAGACCATTTTGATAAAACTGACTTGAACGACAAAACGTGGACTTCACTGAGTTCCCAGAACAGGATACAGGAACAGGTAATTTTAACCGACTTCAAATAAATAAGGGGTTCCTTTTTTCTTCTTGTATATGTTATATAATAATTATGTGTGTTTGCGATTTTCGCAGGATACAGTATATCTTTCGTTATTAACTACTTGTTTATAATTATGTATTTAGATTCTTCGACAGTTTTATTTCTATTACAGAAACTATTTCCGCCTTCTAATGCAGTCAATAAAGAGTCAGACGCCTCAAAAACAGGAACTCGACCCTCAAAGGAGTTATCAATTACTTAAAAACTCAAAATTTCATTGACACAGATTTATATAATTGATTAAGTGAAAACATGGCGATAGTACATTTATTTTTAGTTACAGTACATTTATTTTAATTTTACTAAGCAATTTTTTTATAATAAATATGTTTTACATCACATATGTTGTATTTTTTCTCGATGCTTACATACTCATTCGACGATCTATCAAGAAGACTTTTAAATGATCTACAGACGCCTCCTACGTTCATCATTCAATTATTAAATTGTTGATATTTATTAAAACAGACAGATTTACATTCGCATTCGCATCGCATATTACTCTTATATTTATAGTATCGTATCTCAATTTTCAGGGACTTTTTTTAAAAAGTGGCAATACCACTCTGACTCACACAAAGTTATAAAATTAGTTACAGTTTTTTATTCTACGTGCAATATCTACCTTTTTTTACTTCATCTGAGCTTCTCAATGACAAATATGTAAATAGTGTAAATTTGCTTCCACGATATTAATATGATTTGTCACAATAATGTGTTAAACATTTAACTCAATGATTCAAATTGTTCTGAAATCAAATTTAGTCAATAGTAATGTATTACAAAATGACTATAATTATGATGTCCATTAAGTTAGTGAATAGGCTTGCAGGTGACTACTTTATCCCAAAAGAAGCTTTCATAATATTGGCACACCAGCAACAAATGAAGGTGACCAAGTTTATATGATAGGTATACTTTCTTATGATTATGAATACCAATAAAATTGTGCCTGGGCTGAGCCTAGAAAATTGTGTTTAATTCTAGTCTATGTATAAGATTAGACTTGTAAGTATAAAAACCAAACTTTGGTCCCTATTGGACAAATATTTGAAAGCAATTTCAGTAGGCCAATTGTGGCAGCTATTAGTATTATATATTATTATGTAAAATCTATTTTTGGCCAATTTTGCAATATTTCTGTTTGTGTCAATAGACAATAAAAAAAAAATCTAATATATGTATAATATTGGTAGTGATTTTCCAGATATTTGTTTATGGATGTTTTGTATATTATTTTGTTATAGCAAAATTAAAACTTACACTCATTTAATGAGAAAAACAATTGATTGATGCATCATAAAAAAGATTTAATGATTATTTTAATGTGTGGGACTGATGAGCAAAAACTAATGGCAGAAAATTTGTCTTGCAGTTTTTTACTCCATAACCAATTTTTGACTATATATTATATATAATTTTGAAAATTTGAAGCTAACCCTTTCTGTTACAGGCCTTTGATGCAGAAGATTGCATGACTTGGGTGGATCAGGGAGAAGCATCTTTTTTGGCCTTAGATGCCGGTGAAGTATATATTGCAGGAAGATATCACTCACTTGTTCCTATTGCTCAAGAGGTATTTATACATTCATATCTTATATGATGTTACCCTTTACAGAAAAGATATTTATACCCACTGGGTTTCTTGCTAGTTATTCCCAGGATTTTTTTCCTTGTTTGCCAACTACCAATATTTTCTGCCAGCATCAGAAAAATCGCGTAGTGGCAGTGTAAGAATATTCACTACCCGTGGGTGTCATAAGAGGCGACAGAGAGAAAAAAACCAGGAGAGGGGCAGTAGTGTCTTCCTAATAACAACTACAAAATAAAAAAGCTTCAGTTGTCAAGTTGCCTACCAAGCGTGGCAACTATGGTAAATATCCTCCTATGAGGCAATCTACGGGGGTGGCCTATGTTCAGCAGAGGACTTTGATAGGCTGTAACGATAACAGTAACACAGACTAAACATAGCTACGAAGCTTGATGAATTTTAATAAATAAAATAGTAGTAGGACATATTATGCAAAAAGATATATTTGTCCTTTTGTCAGTTGATTTTATCATGTTTAATTTTTACCTTAAAAAGCCTATGTTTTGGGATCTTTATAGCACCTATGCACATTGGGGCCTGATGTGTTTGTCATCCTGATGTCATAAATAACTTGAATTACCTGCCTTGGCCTTTTTCACTACCATTCTCCTTCCTATTAACTCCGAATTTCCATAAGAATCTAGGAAAAGATAAGCAAGTATAAACATAAGAAGCACCTCCTCTCATTAAAAAAGCATCTCTGTAATATTTTAAGATTGCACTCAAATCTACCACCATCAATCAAGGGGATTTTAATGATTAAATCGGAACTGAATTTTCCTCTACTTATAAACAACTAATTTCTTAATATCCTTTAGTCTCTCTCAGCTAGTAAATGTGGTCCATAGTTGAGTGCTTCATTTTCTCTTCTAGAGAGCAAATTGTTTGGACCCTCTGCTGATCAGTAATCCAGAAAAGTATAAGTCCATTTCCTCATCCTTAGGAACCACAGACTACTATAATTAATTGTCAAAAAAGTACCTACCTGATTGAATCCGGTATTAAGGGTAAAAGATGGTTATGATGTTACAATTAATTAAACAGACTGGGAGTGAATTTTAATGGTGCCTCTAATTCCTATTAAAAGGCTCTACACAATCATCTTCGTCGTAACAAATTTCTGGCATCTTTCACCACTGATTGGTTAAGCCTCAAAGTCGCTGATTCATTTAGTGAAATATACCATTTACATGAACTAATCTATGCACAATAGTGTCCGTACCCACATTAAAATATTCATTTTCGTGCGTAGGTATCAGGTAATAGTTAAGAGAAACACTACTTAAATTATTAAAATAATACTTCTTTTCAGCTATATGGCAATGGGGAGCCTTACCAGTATTCAGTAGCAGTAGTAAAAAAGGGAGGTCTACCATCTGTCCAACAAAGCACTGGCCTCCATGGGATGCGTGGTGCAAAGGCGTGTTTTCCTAGTGTTGGAGCTTTAGCTGGCTGGGTAATGCCGGTTCATATTGTAAGTTCAAAAAATTATCATATTTATTTTATATTAAATGTAATTTAATTAAGAAGAATCATCTATTAATTAATATTTCTAAAGTGCTGATTCTATTAAGCAACATTCACTTTAGTCTGCAAACAATGCAAAGTTGTTAAAAATAGCTGTATTTATTTGAATTGTTTCAAAATTACTGGCACCTTTAAAGTATCCGTGTAGTGGTGGCGTAAAAAAAATTACTACCTCAATATTATCCAGTGGGTGTCTAAAGAGGAGAACAGAGGGAAATTATAATTGATAGAATCAGGCGTTACTTTGCGAAAATTTATTATAATGGGGTTTTTATGAGGGCGGCACTGAAAATTTCGGGAATCAAGGAAGTGACACAACATTACTATTTAAAAATGTATTTATTGCTTTTCGAAGTATTCTCCGCGAAATTTGACACATTTTTCCATACAATGGAACCAATCATTGAAGCAACCATTCCATTCGGAAGTTGGGGTCTCCAAAATGGCCGTTTTGTAGGCGTCCACAGCTTTTTCAGGTGATGAAAATCTCTGTCCACGCAATTTATTCTTTATTTTAGGGAAAGTATAGAAATCATTAGGGCTTAGGTTGGGGCTGTACGGCGGATGGTCTAATAATTCTATGTTTTCTTGCTCTAAAAACTCTTTTGTTCTGTGTGCGGTGTGAGAACTCACATTGTCGTGATGGAGGATGATGCGGCGGTTGCAGTTCTCTTTACGGGGTTCAGAAACGAACTGTGGCAAACAAATGCTAGCATACCATTCTGCATTAACCGTTCTTTGTCCCTGAAGAGGAATAGTCGTAACATGGCCGGTTTTGGAGACAAACGTGGCCACCATTTTTTTTGCAACACTCCGTGAACGAACAATTTTGTTGGCTTTAACTCATTTTCGAACACCCAAACTCGTGACTGGTTTTTTGTTTCGGGTTCGTACGCGTATATCCAGGATTCGTCACCTGATACGATGTTGTATACAGCATTTGAGGATCCTGCGTGGAATCTTTCGGGAGTTCTGACGCACCAAGTAACGCGAGCCGCTTTTTGCTCTTCACAGAGCGAATGCGGTATCCATCGGGAAAACAACTTTTTTACACCTAATTGTTCATGCAAGATTATTTGTATTTGACTAAAGTTGCCTGAAATTCGCGGTATGTCACATGTCGATCTTCCTCAATCAGCTTACGCACATCATCAACGTTTTCTTGGGTGACTGCAGTTTTTGGACGACCTTGACGGGGATCATCACTGAGCTTGACACATCCACGTTGAAATTCAGCAAACCAGTGATATATTGTGGTTTTGGATGAGGCTTCATCACCAAATGCAGAAATCATCCGGTCAACACACTGTTTCTGTGTTAAACCACTTCGAAAGTCATAATAAATCATCGCTCTTGAATTTTCTCGAGTCAATTCCATTTTCTCAACGACTAAACAAGTTTGACAAAACCTTGTGACAAGACCGAGAATCTTTTTTAAATAAATAAATGGTATTCGATTTTTAAAACCAAGGAGTTTTCAATTAAAAAGATTTTAATATGACAGGAACAGTAGAAATATTCCATTCCCGATACTTTTAGTGCAGCCTATGTATAATTTGCTTGATTCCGCGTAAAGAAAGAAAATGATGTGTCCTGCCCAGTTTTAAGGGTACCTCCCACCCTCCCTCAAACGCGCGCACTATACCCTTCGCCGTTAATCCCAGCACTACCACCCCCAGCATCAGCACACTAGGCACGACACACCACTCTCGAAAATACGACACGTGTTTCGCCTCTACACGAGGCATCCTCAGGTGAAGTAGACTCTGCGGAGGCTGGCCGCTAAGTGAGCGGCAAGCCGAAACTATTTATACTACTTGCTGACGCAACCGCTCTCCAATTACGTAGCGAGCGATTACGTCATGCGATCAATCACCGCCTGACGTACGCCGATATTTGCTGTGAAATTCTTCTTCCTTCCTTTATGGCGGTTACGATGAATTCGCCAATGACATGTTAAATGTGAGAAGGTTTAATTGGGACACAAACTCTGCTTAGAAAAGGAAATTGATAATACAAGAAATGGTAACAAACGAATATTATGTGAATGATTTTGGTAATTGTTATGGAACTAACTGCTGAATCGCCTAAAACAAAAGACAGACAATGTTGTTAGAACAATACAAATGTGTTATTATATGACAAACAAATTATAGTTTAATGTAATTAGTGTTAATAAAATCACATAAAATATATACAAAAGAGGTATTTGTGAAGATTAGAAGGGAGTTAAAGTCTATGGGACGACGGATGTCAGGGGGCAAATAATCGTAAAGAGATGATGATAATTTGGTGCAGTTAAAAAAAATATGATTAGTGTTTCCCTCATCTAAACCACATTCGCACAGAGAACTATCCAATGTCCAATTCTCAACCGGCAGACAATAGAGGTGGCATGTTTGTTTGCTTTATTAAATATGAAAAACCAAGGTCTTGATGGAATATTATCTTGTATAGCAGCATAGTGCTTGCCTTTTAGTATTTGTGATGCTTTCCATATCTCATTCCACATATTAACAAGCTTTTTCTTAGCAAGTGACAGCAAGTCATGGGAATAAGTAACATTTAGTGGGGTGCCATTTCTAGTAGCCTCTTTGGAACACAAATCTGCTTTATCATTTTCTCAAATACCACTATGACTAGGTATCCAGGCTAAGCAGACAGAAATCCCTTTAAGATGACACCTCTACAGAATGCTTTTTATATCAAGAATTAGGGGAAATTTATATTTACTTTGAAATTGGTTAGCCAAAATAGCAGATAAACAACTCTTAGGATCGCTAAAGATCACTGTCTTGTCTAGGCTATGTGATTCAACATATAGCAGAGCTTCATGGATTGCAATTGTCTCAGCAGTAAAAATGGAACATAATGAAGGGCACTTAAAGCTAAGGATTATTTAATCCTGGGGATCCAGACAGCTGCACCAGTGCAGCCATCATCAGTATTTTTGGATGCATCTGTATACATGATCATCCAATCTTTCCAATTTTTCCCTATGGCTTCTTTTAATTTTAAATCTGCTTCAGGGGGACCTTTTCTAATATCTAGGTCAAGGTGAATGTTAGGTTGATATATAATAGCTTTGAAAGGAGTATTAAAGAGTGGACTTGTATTGCATGAGAAAATGGGCCCAGGAATTTGGAGAAATGAGACTAAGCTATTAAATAAATGTGGATAATCTTTATGGAGCCAGTAGCTACTTCTGATAATTCTGAGAGGAGGTGTAACCTGGGAATTAGGGGATGAGAAGAGAGTTGACAGATCTTAAAGAAGAATCTGTCTGAAAGATATTGTCTTCTTATGTTTAGAGGAGGATCTACACACTCTACCTGAAGGGCATTAATTGGGGAAGATTTCATTGCACCAATTATAATGCGGAGACATTTATACTATATTTTGTCTAAAGTTTTAAGTGACGATTTATTGCATGGCTTTAAAAGAAAACATCCATAATAGCCAAGATTAATCCAGAAAATGCACGACCGCGGTCTATTATTGTGAAGTTTGCTTGTCCATGGGTTCGTGATACATTCTTAGCCGGAGTAATAAATTTCAATAAAAGAAACCCCAATGAAAAACTAAATACAAGCCACATCGGGATAGGTGGCGACAAAAAACCTATATTTGTAGTCGAACATTTGACCCCGGAGCTGAAGAAAATCCACGCCCTTGCCAGAGCGACAGCAAAGAAATTAAAATACAAATTTGTCTGGATTAAAAATGGTCGTGTCTTTTTAAGAAAAACCGATAATTCTGAACATATTGTCGTGCATAACATCGAGCAGCTCGAAGAATTACAATAGTAAAGTACTTATCTGTCTAGTCTCTTATCGAAATTCTGTTAAAATACGATACATTAAATATATATTACCAAAACGTAAGGGGGATTCGTAGTAAAGCGCGGGATGTAAAACTTAACATACTATGTAATGATTTCGACATCTTAATTTTTTACAGAAACTTTGCTTAATGACGGCGTGTTCGATAGTGAGTTTATTGATGATCGCTATACGGTATACAGGAGAGACAGGGAGCAATTAGACCCAAAAAGAATCAAAAATGGGGGGGGGGGGGTGTAATGATAGCCGTTAAAATACCTTAAAATCAAGCCGTTGCCTGCATTGGGATATTGGGTAAACCAAGTCATGTTGCAATCTGCGTAGTATACTTGCCACCCCCGATGAATAGCAATGTGCTAAGTGAATTCTTAGAAAATGCGTCCAAAGCTTTATTAATACAAATGAATACGTCATGCTAACGGGGGATTTTAATATTAGTAGTATTTCTTGGTCGAAAGTATCGGTATTAAATTGTCTACACCCCTTTAGTAGTTCTAACTTAGCATCTAGTTTTGTTGATTTTATCGAGGAACACAATTTAAAACAATTCAATTCAATATTTACCGCAAATGGCAGGTTGCTTGATTTGGTTCTTTCAAATCATACTCATGTGACAGTTAGTCAAAACTTCAATCCAATAAGCATAATCGATAATCATCATCCGTCACTTAACCTAAAGCTCGAATTCTTGAAGATTAATACGATCAATGCACAGCTCAATGAAAGGTACAACTTCTTTAGAGCAGATTATGAGGCCCTTACGAATGAATTAGATGGTACAAATTGGTCAGAACTTTTACTAAATTGCGATTCAGTTAACTCAATGCTTAATGAATTTTATCATAAATTAAAATCAATAATTGAAAAACACGTGCCAAAGACTAAGCCTAGAAGTACAAAGTTTCCTTTATGGTATAATAATAAATTAATTTCTATGTTAAAAATTAAAAATAAATATCGAGTAAAAAGTAGAATTTACAATAACCTTCTAGACATATTCAAATATAAATCACTAAGGTTTAGCTGTATTAAATTAATTAAAGCAAGTTATAATAATTATATTGAATGCGTTGAAAGTAACCTACAAAAAAATCCTAAATATTTT